TTAAATTTAAATGATATTTTTATATTTTAATGCTTTTTAATAATATCAATTGTATTTCTATTCGAATTAGTCTTGGAATATCAAACTCCCTTTGGATTTGAAAAATGATTTTAGATCTACGCCCTAATAATTTATAAATTATCCTTTCAAGATTAAAGTTCCTTAAGCTTCTAAATTGGGATTCTAGGAAATTCGCAAAATTGTAATATAAAAGGCAGCTAAAAAATAGTGAAAAATAAAAACCACTTTCTGGATGAATTTTGTTTGATAATATTTGAGGTTAGAATTATGCTAAAATATTTCTATAATTAAAATTGGAAGATAAGATTTGTTGTTTAGATTTTACATCCCATAAGCGGATAGATTTATCTGCAGAACCAGATGCTAATGTAGAACCATCAGGAGAGAAACAGACTTATTAAACTGAATAAGAATGACCATCTAATTTGGCTTTTTATTATCCTGTCTTAACATCCCATAAAAGGATAGACTTATCATAATTACCAGATGCTAATGTAGTACCATCAGGAGAAAAATTGACTGATAAAACATAATCTTAATGACCATCTAATTTGGCTTTTTATTATCCTGTCTTAACATCCCATAAAAGGATAGACTTATCCAAACTACCAGATGCTAAGGTGGTACCATCAGGAGAGAAATTGACTGAATAAACTCTGTTAGAATGACCATCTAATTTGGCTTTTTATTATTTTATCTTAACATCCCATAAACGGATTGACTTATCATAACTACTAGATGCTAATGTAGTACCATCCTGAGAGAAACAAACAGATCTAATTTCATCTAAATGACCATCTAATTTGGCTTTTTATTTTCTTGTTTTAAGATTCCATAAATACACACATTGTTTTCTGCTAAAAGCTAATGTAGTATTATTAGGTGAGAGGCATAATGATTTTACCACCCCCTTTCCCTTGACTATTTATTTCATTTTCCCAGTTTTAATATCCCACAATATAATTGAATTATCATCACTACAAGAAGCTAATGACTTACCATCTGGAGAAAAACATACCAAATTGACACCTTAACTATGACCATCTAATTTATTTAACTCATGAATTTTGATATTTTTCCATATACAATTAAGTAGTTATGCCTAATTCAAGTTAATTCCACTGATATTGATATTATCAAATTCTGATCCATTGAAATTGCATCTTACGAAATTTCCACCTACCAAAGAGGTATCTCTAATCCTGATATTCTCAAAATTCTCATCCCTCAAATCAACTTTCATTTCGACTAAAAGATTTAGTATATTAGATCCACATTAGATAAATTTCTCATCAACGGCTGTCAGGCGTACAAGGAATTTCAAAAATTCAATGATCTGTCTCTCCTCACCAATCTTTTTAATCAATTCTTTTCTAATTTATGCTTAATCTTCATTTGATTAGTTCTTTTTATTAAAGTCAAGCTCGATTATTATTTGGAGAATTTTAATCAAGTAGTCAGTATTTTTAATTCCTAACTGCGCTAGCTTTTGATTGTTTAAATGCTTAAATGTGTCTGTGATTTTTTCCCTTCTGAACATTTCAATAAGAATAGGATAGATTTCGGTATCAAAATCTTTAACCTTGGCCAAAACCTCGGACAAATTTTCATTATTGTCGATTTTGCAATCCATTTTCTTTTTTTTTATGTTATTAATATTCTAAAACCTGATTTTGAGTTTTATGCTAAAAACCGAAAAGTATCATGCAAATCTTTATTTGAAAGAAACTCATATTAATTTAAGCTTAGGAGCTGATATAATAGTAATAGCATAAAGAAACATGTGCAAAGCTTTAATCTTTTTGAATATAGAATAAAAATACAAAACAAATTAAAACAACACATCCATACAATCTACAAGATTCAAAGTAAAAACTTCAATACCATTTTTATAATGCTGTAAATTCAATCTATCACTTTAAAAAATCTTTACAAATTATGTTTTTATAATTATTATTTGTCGGATTATAATCAAAATTTTTAAATATTCTCAAGCATTTTTTTTAGTTTGTAAATATTAAAGGATATCAGATGTGGAAACAATGAATATAATAAAAAAATAAAGGATTAAATATTTATGCTCATGAAACACATTAAAAATAAAAGAAAGTGAAGAGAATTAAAATAACTATAGACTTAAATATTTAATTAGAAAAAAATAAACTTTTTTGGTGAATAAAGTAATTGATTATTGCTTTTTTATAAATACAAGTTAGTTAGACTTCAAAAGTCATTAGGTATTACAATATGAAAAAGATACTCCCTATTTTTTGAAAAATCAAAGTAAGGCAATATTCCCAGGACGATCGACCATAACTTGGTTTTAATAGTAAAATAACTAAAAAATGAAATTTGTCTAAAACGATAAAATGATAAAATGATTTTTCTAAATTACTTTTATAAATTTTGATTCTTAATTTAAATACTGTTAATATTTTGAATATTTAACAGTTCTAAATATTTTTTTGATTTTTATTAAATTTCAACCTCTTTGTATTTTCTAAATAGAAATATATGACAAGATATTTTCAAACTAGATGTTTCTTTAATAATCTTTTAAAATAATCTTGCTTTGATATTTTAATGTTTTATTTGATTGTTTTCAGTCAATTTTTTAATTTTTATTGAGCTTGTGTTCAAAATATAAAATAACCCCCTTGTACTAAAAAATTATTTTTATATTAAATTGAGTTTGGTAGAAATAAGATAATTGAAATTAAAGAGTGAAAGCGTGTGTGTTAGAAGTAAATAAAAAATCACTTAATAAATGAATTGAAAATTAAAATGTTCACAAAATGACCATAAGAATGGGATAGAAACTGTATGTAAAACTAGTTTTGTACATAATTTAGATTGACTAACTTTAATTGTTTGGACAAGAAAACAACACATATGATCATTCTTTTCTTGTTCAAAAATTTGATGGTTTTGATTGAATTCATTGAAAGTAAATATCAAAGATGAATTCATTTGATTGTACATCTTAATACATATCAAGATAGTCTGAATCAATCATTTACATTGTTAAGAAGAGGAATCACATTTAAATATTCAAAATTAATAGTAAGATTAATATTTGAACTTATAGTAAATACATTATTATTAGAATTCAACCATTGAATTAAAGAGATACAAATGATCTATTTAATTAATTATGAGATTCATGATAATTATATAAGATTATCTTAAGAGTTATCCGATCTAAAAGTAAATACAGCTAATTATTAATTTCTGTTAGAAGGCTAATTGTTAATTTAAAATTTATTAAATAATATATATTAAAGTAAAATTTAAAAAATAAAAAATATAAATGAAAATAATAATATATTATTATTTTTTTATATATGTAGG